CTGCCTCGCCCGGGACGAGCGCAATGATGGTGCCAACTTGGGCCAGTGAAGCAACGTCCTCCACAACTAGACTGAAGAACAAAACAACAGCATCTTGTCTGTTCCCCTTCCCCCAACTCCCCAGCACTGTTCCCATCCCACCAATTCCCCAATTAAAAAAATAATAATAATATATCTACAGAATCTCTTCTATAAAACATAATGGGGGGTAATATTTTCCAACTAATTATCTTCATACAAAACCAGACAAGAACATTACAAGAAAACTCTACAGATGAACATCTTTCATGAAAAGAGATGCAACATGGATGGATCTCAGATAGAAAAAGTCGAGAACCATGTTCACTCATATGTGGGATATAAAACTGAAGGCAACAAAGGAACAAGACAAGCAAAGAAACAGAAACTCATAGACATAGACAATAGTCTAGTGGTTACCAGAGGGTAAGGGAGGAGAGGGTTGGTAGATGAGGGTAAATGGAATCAAATATATGGTGATGGAAGGAGAACTGACTCTGGGTTGTGAACACATAATGCAATATATAGATGATATATTACAGAATTGTACACTTGAAACCTATGTCATTTTGTTGACAATTGTCACCTCAATAAAGTTTAATTTAAAAAAATTAAAAAGAAGAAATGTAAAAATTCTCAACAAAACCCTACCAAATAGAGCCCAGCAATCACGACCAACGGGGTTTATCCTCCAAAAGCAGAGCTCATTCAACATTCAAAAATCAATCAATACAACTCATAATTAAGCCTATAAAAGAAAAAAAGATCATATCAACTGATACATAAAAAAGCATTTGACAAAATTCAACATTCACTCATGATAAAAACTCTCACCAAATTAGAAACAGAGGAGAACTTTCTAAACCTGACAAAGGTTTCTACGAAAAGTCTGCATCTTATATCACACTTAATGGTGAAAGTCTAAAGCTTCTTCCCAATAACAGGAATATGGCAAGGATGTCTGCTCTCATTACTCCTATTCAGCACTGTCTTGAGGAACTAGCCAGTGCAGAAAGGCAAGAAAAAAGAAACAAAAGGCATCCAAATTGGAAAGGAAGATATAAGATTTGCACATATATTTGCAGACAGCATAATCCCACATAGAAAATCTCAAAGAATCTACCAAAAAAAAAATACTAGAACTAATAAGTAAATTTATCAAGTTTACAGGCTAAAGTCCTAATGTACAAAACTCAGCTGCATTTCTATATCATAACAATGGACAGTCAGAAAATATTTTTAAAGTACTATTTGTAATTGCACCCAAACATGACATACTTACAAATAAATGTAAAAAAATATGTGCAAGATCTGTAGACTAAAACCACAAAAATGATGAAAAAACTAAAGAAAGCCTAAATAAATGGCATGATATACTATGTTCATAGTTTGGAAGGTTTAATATTGTTAAAACTATCAATTCTCTCCAAACTGATGTATAGATTGTCAGCAGGATTTTCAGAGAAATAAAAAAACTGATTCTGAAGTTTATATGGAAAGACAATGGAATTAGGATAGGCAAAACAATTCTGAAAAAAAAAAAAGTTAGAGAATTCACACTACCTAATTTCAAAATTTACTATAAAGCTAAAATAAACCAGACAGTGGGCTACTGGCAAAAGAACCAACACATAGATCAATGGAAGAAAACAGAGGTTCCAAAAATTACCCAAGCATATGCAGTCAAACGAATAAGGAGAAAGGATGTCTTTTGAACACATGGTACTGGAACAATTGCACATATGCAAATATGAAGAAAAGAAAAAGAACCTCGGGCCGGCCAAGTGGCGCGTTGGTTAAGAGCTGGATTGGGACGCCAGCTCTGAGCAGCAGGACCCCGGTTCAGATCCCACATGAGGGCCAGTGACACTGCCCTCTGCAGCTAAGATGGTGAACAACAGCGCGACCTGGAGCTGGGCTGCCGTGAGTGGCCAGTGACAGCGTAGGCTGCAGTGGGGCTGGCCGGCAGCTGCCGTGAGCCGCCGTGAGCGGCCATCCAATGGCTGGCGAGCAACTGCCTCCTCCAGGAAGAGCACAATGATAATACCAACATGGGCCAGTGAAGCAACATCCTCCACAACTAGACTGAAGAACAAAATGACAGCAACTTGTCTGTTC